GATGACGAGGAAGCAAGCGGTGGTGAAAACGATGCTGAAAAGAATTCAAAGGACGAAGATTCCGAAGGTTCCTCGGAGCAAACATCAGACGACGAATCCGATGACGAGGACGAAGACTCTGAAACCAATGATGAAGAAGACGAATCGGCTTCAAAACTGAAGGTTCGCCAATCGGCCTTCAAGTCCTGGGCCGTTCAGCAGATCAACGACGCCGTCGGCTTCCAGCCAACGACCGGACCAGTGGTGATCGAACAAAATCAAGCATTTGCCCCTCCCGAGAAGGCAGCCAAAAATTCAGTCTACGAGGAAGAACCCCTACCCCAAGAACTACAGGTGACCAAAGGAGATCCCAATCGCAAAGCGTTTAGTGTTCCGGTCAACCGCTCGGATGAGATTCAAACTGCCCGCCTTGGTCTGCCAGTCGTGGGTGAAGAACAGAAAATCATGGAAGCAATCCACAACAACTCCACTGTCGTCATCTGGGGAGCCACAGGTAGCGGAAAGACGACTCAGCTACCGCAGTTCCTATTCGAGGCCGGCTACGGAAGCCCAGATAGCCCTAATCCAGGTCTGATTGGTGTGACACAGCCTCGACGAGTTGCGGCCGTGAGTATGGCGAACCGTGTGTCTCAGGAATTGGGACAGTACTCCGACAAAGTGTCGTATCAGATTCGGTTCGAGACGACTGTGTCGAGCAAAACTGCCATCAAATTCATGACGGACGGTATTCTACTTCGAGAGATTGCGGATGACTTTTCTCTGCGCAAGTACTCAGTAATCATCATTGATGAGGCACACGAGCGGAGTGTGAACACAGACATTCTCATCGGAATGGTCAGTCGCATCGTGGACCTGCGCAAATCGATGAGTGAGGAGGATCCGTCAGTCAAACCTCTCAAAGTCGTCATCATGTCTGCCACACTCCGCATCTCCGATTTCACACACAATACGAGCCTCTTCCGGCAAGGACCGCCTCCTTTGGTCCAAGCCGAAGGGCGGCAGTATCCGGTTACGGTTCATTTCGCCCGGCGCACGCATCGCGACTACGTCGAAGAAGCCTTCAACAAAGTTTCGAGAGGACATCGTAAACTGCCACCGGGTGGGATGCTTGTGTTCTTGACTGGGCAGAACGAGATCCGACAACTCTCGAAGCGGCTGAAGCAAGCATTCAAGCCGACACAGCGGGGAGACACCACCCAGGCCAAATTACAGCTTTCAGCCAACGATGCACCCTTGGAAGCGGAGGATTTGGAGCTGGGGGGCACGGAGATGTCTCCAGCGGATCATGGGGATGATGATAGCGACATGGAGATCACCGGCCTCGACGACCCCGAAGAAGAAGATGACGGTTTTGATCTGGGTGAAGAGGCCATGGACTCCTCAACAAAAGTCCACGTCTTACCTCTATACTCTCAACTACCCACCAAAGAGCAGATGAAAGTCTTCGAGCCCCCGCCAGAGAACTCGCGACTGATTATTCTCGCCACCAACGTTGCCGAGACCTCTCTCACGATCCCCGGTATCAAGTACGTCTTTGACTGCGGTCGAGCCAAGGAAAAGCAATTTGATCTGTTCACTGGCGTCCAAAGCTTCCAGATCGGCTGGATCAGCAAAGCTAGTGCAAGCCAGCGAGCTGGACGAGCCGGACGAACTGGGCCTGGCCACTGCTATCGGCTGTACTCCTCAGCGGTCTACGAAGGGGACTTCGCCGAATACACAGACCCCGAGATCTTGCGCACGCCCATCGAAGGTGTCGTTCTCCAAATGAAGAGCATGGGTCTCCACAGCGTGATCAACTTTCCGTTTCCCACACCCCCGAGTCGGCAAGGTCTCGCCAAAGCAGAGAAACTACTGCAAAACCTTGGCGCCCTTTCTGGCGATGGCCGAGTGACGCAGATCGGTCGCCGTCTATCGACGTATCCGCTTTCCCCGCGGTTCGGCAAGATGCTCTATATAGGCCACCAGCATGGCTGCATGCCCTATGTCATCGCTTTGGTGGCTGCCCTTGCTGTGGGCGATCTTTTTGTCACCGAGAACCAGTTCAATCCCACTGCCGTACCGGCCAAGAAGACGAATGACGACGATGATTCGGACGAAGAAGGAAAAAAGATCTACACCAACGCAGACCGTCTCGAAGACACAGAGCGCGAGCAACGCGCCAAAGACTACGCGCGCGTCCAACGTCTATTCAGCAAACACGACGACACATCCGACGCACTGAGATACCTCTCCGCAATCTGCGCCTACGCCTACGCAGCCGACGGCGACGCCTTCAGCGAGAAGATGTTCCTGCGCGCCAAAGCCTTCAAGGAAGCAACCCAGCTGCGCCGACAGCTGACAGATATCGTGCGCTCCAACAACCCAGGCCTGGTGGCCGACTACACGGCCCGGCTGCCAGAGCCATCGCAGAAACAGCTCAAGGCCCTCAAACAAATTATCACAGCTGGCTTCATCGACCAAGTCGCCATTCGCGCAGACCTGGCCCCCGTTCCGCCGGAGATGCCGCGCACGCCTCGCCGCGCCATCGATGTGCCCTACCTGACTCTCTTCCGCTCTCGCAGCGACGGCTCAGCACAAGACGTCCTCTCGCGCGCTGTCTTCGTGCATCCTTCTTCCTTGTTGGCCAAGCTGTCTCCCAAGGAAATGCCCCAGTACCTCGTCTACTCGCATCTACAACAATCATCCGCCCACAACGTCGGTAGTGAGCAGCAACCCAAGATCAGAATGTTCCCCCTAGTCGCGCCAAGCGGCCTACAACTCTCTGCTATTGCGCACGATACTCCGCTTATTGAGTACGGCAAGCCCATCGGCAAGACCGAACTTATGGATGGCATTCCGCCGCGCCGCTCGTGTTGGGTTGTGCCGGCTTTGGTGGGTGATGCGGGTAGTACGGGCTGGCCCTTGCCTGCGAAGAAGGTGGTTCAGAAGAAAGATCCGAAGGAGGGGTGGGTTATTGAGAAGTTTATAGCATAGATTCCTGTCTATAATGAGATCATGAACTTGGTCATTTGCATCATTCATCGCCAAGTAATTGATATTTAGTGAAGGCATAGAATTTTCGATAGGTATGCAAGACATGCACCAATGCGCCTAGGTAGTAATCATCCGAGACTCCAGCATCCAAGCAAAACAAGAGCGGACCCCATCTAATCCCTCCTCCGGCCCCTATCCTCATATGGCCGTCGCCCACCACTAAGCTCCCCAGTTTCCCGATCCTCCCTAATGCCCAAAGCCTTGCGCAACCGCTCACTCTCCTCGATCTTCGCCTCCGCCAGCTCATGCACCTGATAAGACTTGAGCTGTCGTCGATCCTTCGGCAGGTAAGGTCTTTTGTCTCGTTGAGCGCCTCCCGCCTCATCCTCCTCCAGCTCCTTAATTAGACGCTGCCGGAGCGCCTCGCACCGCTCATCAATCTCTTCCTCGGATAACACCTTCTCCCCTTCATCAGCATCATCCTCGCCCTCCTCCTTCCCCTTCCCTTTCCCCTTAGACTTAGACTTCGATTTCGCCTGCTCCTCCTCAATCCGCTCATTCTCCTCTTCCAATCTCTCCCGCTCCTCCATAACCTTCACTTCAATCGCGCGCCGCCGGTCATGCTCGAGGATCTGCTTATCCGGCATACGCTGCTTGAATGGTTTCTCGGCGGCGTTGTTCGCCCCTGAAACGGGTGGGTAGGGCGCGCCGTAGCCCCGGTTGCGGGGCTTCATGAGCGCGAAATTGCGTTGCACATAGCCGGAGGTACCGCTGCCGCGCGGGGTGGAGAGACCGACGTTTTCGGCCATTTTTGGAGGTGAAAGGTGTTGTAATAAGAGTGGTTACGAGTGTGTAACTGACGGGGGGTGGAGAGGATATTCTCTGCTGTGTCGGTGCTGTGTTTCTCGTTCGATTTCGGAGAGCTGTGCGCTGCAGAAATGAGGTGGTGATATCAGAGGGACGTGGGGTTTGAGCGGCTTTGACAATATTATCGAGGAATGAAGAGATGCTTTCAGGCTCCGTTGACCAAGTGAGTCTTGTTTCCGGCGATGTACTTGCGAGAAGTTCATCGTCGCGAAGCTCCAAAGATCTTATCTAGTCACATGATAAAAAGGTCACGTGGTAAAGATCCTATCTGGCTGCTCCCGCTGTTTCAGTGATGCTATCTACTCAGGGTAGTTGTATTTCTCGTCAATTCAGGATGTGTAGAAATGGCAAGCAGCTCAAATTGCATATAATAATACATCAGGTCCCTCAGCAACCAGCAAGTACATGTAACAAATGACCGACAGGGAGGCACTGTTTGACACAGCAGTAGCAGCCCACGGAGGTAGTAGGTATAAGCAACAGATTTCAATTGAAGTAGGTCACTGTATACCGAAAACAAGAAAAAGAAAAAGACACAGCAAAATAAAACCCATGATGCAATTCCATATAACAATGCTCAACAACGGCTCTCTTTTGAACAAGTGGCCGGCGCAAAGAAAAAGAAAGAACAAGAAACAAAATGTCGTCTCCCATATTTCCGAATCCGAATTTCCTCTCAAGTCATAAAAATAGAGCCATGTTCCTTTTTGATTTCACACTCCCATTCCCACAAACCCAGGTTCTGCAAAACACACAAAGAAAAAGACACAGAAGACGCCGAATTCACAGACACAGGCAAAACTCTCAGACCGGGGTAGCGAGAAGCATTGACAATCGAATATTTGGCCCGAGGACACCAGGGGGGGGGAAAAAAGTACCACAATGGTAGAAAATGAACAGTCGAAACACAGAAGGGATGAACAAGGTCAACAAATCCGAGAAGAGAGTAAAATAAATCAAACATCGAAGCCCTATTCTTGCGCCGTCAAGCCATGGTAAGGGGGGGGCAAAGAGGAGACACAGCGTTGTTGGTAATCATATATCCCACCGGGATCCCCTGTATGTATATGCCCATATTAGATAAGAGAGAACAAGAATGGCTCAGCTCAAATAATGATTAGAAGGATTATGTGGGCAAAGCAAGTAAAGTGTGCAACGAATTAGTGGGCACTGGCGATGTCCACGGGGACAGAAACACCGGTGTTGCCAGACTCCTCCGAGACCGGGGTCACCGTGCTCTTAGCAAGTCCCTTCGACTCAAGAGAGCCGTCAACGGTGCTCTGGTTGTCGGTTGGGGGAGGTGTGGGTGGCGCAGTCCCAACAAAGGCGCGAGGTTGCTCCATGGTCGGGATCAAACGTTTAGAAGGCTGAGGTGAGGACTTGTGAGAGTTGGGAGGAGTGGTGGAGGTGGTGTGAGCCAGAGGGCCTGTCACAGGACAGTTTGGGTCGAAGATGAGCTTCTCAATTGCGACAATCTGTTTGCCATAGCTGAATTTCTTCAGCTGGCTCAGCATGGGCTTGATTTGGTCAATCAGAGCCTCGCGCTCAGCTCCCTTGAGCTGGCCGAGAACTTTCTCTGTAGTTCATGTTAGAAAGAAACAAGGTTCGGTAGGAGTTCGACTTACGGATGACATAGTTGCCATACTGATCCCGCATCAAACCGAGCAGGGGGCTTTCGCCCCGCTCGTTGGGGGAAGTCAGGGTGGAGATGATGTGGTGGCGCTGGTCTGGAGTGCCAAACTCGATGCTCTTCTCAACCACATTGCTGGCAAATTTGTGCTTAGAATAAGCCAGAAGCTGTGACATGACGATTTGGATCATGCGATCGCGATCCTTCTCCTCGCCGTTCTCAATCACATGTTGAATCACATAGTTGCCGAACTGGTCGGGGATCAGGTTGGACGTGCAAGCGTGAAGCTCGGCGAGAATAGACTCCCGGTCAACTTCTTCACAGTGTTCGAGCATGCGTTGGATAACTCGGCATCCGTACGGGTGCGCAGCAAGTCTGTTCACCTGGCCTCGGAAAGCATTGATGATAAACTGCACGTATTGCGAGGGAACTCGTTCAATAGCTTTCTGAATAACGTGGTTGCCATTCTGGTCCCGAACACATTTGAGGACGTGGTTCTCCAGCTCCTTGACCATGCCAGCTTGCTGATCAGTGAGAATGTGTTCCAATGCCTGGTGTCAAGTTAGTAACTTTTCCTCCCATAAGAACCGAAGCAAAACATACCTTTTGCACCACACGGCACCCGTACATCTGTGTCGACAGAGCAAGGACATGGCCTCGCATCTGATTCGCCAGGATCTTCTTCTGGGTCTGATTGCCATGTTCGAACAGCTTTTGCACAACGTAATTGCCAAACACATCCGTCATCAGTTGCAAGCAGTTGGGCTGAATTTCACGGAAGACTTGCTCCTTCTCATCACTGTTGGCAGTCTCCAGTTTTTGCTGGATAAACCGCGAGCCATGCTGATCACCACTGAACTCAACCACATGGTTGTAGATGTCCTTCAACTCATATCGCTTGTTTCCTTTGCTGTTCGCCCGGAACTCTTCCAGGAGCGGGCTGCGAACAACTTGGGCGGGATCATGGTCGCGATGGCCTCGAGAGACTAGGGCAGCCGCTCCGAGCTGACCGAGGTGGTTGACGGGGTAGAATCCGGAAAGGGCATTCAGACGAGCTGACTGGTAGCCAGAATAGTCGTAGGAAGGAGGAAATTGTCCCCGTTGGAGGGAGCCGGAAGGACCTTGCACTAGATCCTGTTCCTGGAAATTCCGGAGTCTCCGCTCGAACGCAGCTGCCTGGGTATCGGAGAGACGGCCGCCATTGTTTCGATACTGCAGCGATGCCTCCGCCCCGCCATACAGAGGACTATCCATGCGAGCATAATCTGACGGGGAGATGGAACCAGTGTCTGCGGCACGGGATCGAGCCTGGTATGCAAGATGCATGTCGGGGGTGCCTTCTGCACCATAACCAGCCAGTGTCTGGTAGCCGACATCGTCGGACTGGTACTTGACACGCGGGTAGGACCCATCAAAGGATGCGTGAGGGACGTACGGAGGTCGCTGAGCTGATTGCTGCGAGCCGTACCCAGCCTCGTTCAGTTGCAGCTTATTGAAACCAGCGCTCAGGTCGACGCTGCCGTAACGGCTGTCAAGATTCTGGTTATCGGAGTAGAATGAGGGGTGAGCAGAGTGGGTAGGACGTTGTGGCGCATATGAGGCAGAGTTGTGAGGCATGTGGGCAAGTGCACTGCGTCCTTGGGGCGGGGACACCGTGTCCGACATGCCAGAGGCCAGGGATGACATACCCATCGGGGTGGCCATATCATCCGCGCGTGCACTATCCAGAGTAAATCCAGACTTCACCGGGAAGGTAGCCCCCACAGGACTGTTGCTCAGACCGCTCGAGTTGATCTGCCGTCGACCTTCGCCGTTGCGAAAACTAGGGAACCCACCAAATGAGATGCCATCAGCCGAAGGGGAAATTCCCTCCGATGCTGTGCTAAGATATGGCCGTTGGCTCGCGGTACCAGCACCGCTGCTGATTCCCGACGTGCGAGGCATTGTAAAGTATGAGGAATCACCCGCCTCGTTGAGGACAGCTGCGCTCCGATCATTGCCGCGAGTCTGAATGGGTGAAGTGGCCATGCCGCCTCTGTTCTGGCCCATCGACAATGAGGTGTTGACGGTACTCCAAGGCATGTTCGCACGTCCTGTCCAGCCATCCGATTCAGATGAGGACAGCAACGAGCCCGAACCGGACTTGCCCTCAAAAGCAGTCTCGCCGATGTGTTGATCTACCAAACGGTCAGCATTCCTGCAAGTGTGTAATCCCGACAGCGACATACCATCTCCGAACCCACCTCCGAGGTTGCCGTCACCCCAAATGTTGCTGTTCCAGTTGGGCTTGCCAGCCCCGAAACCCTTTCCTACACTGTTGCTCTGAGATCCACGCATGCGGTCATTGTTCATCCCGGATGAACTCATGTTGGAAGCCCGGCTCGACCGTACCTGTGAAACGATGGTTAGTTTTGTCTTCCCTGTCTCGTCCCAATCAAAACTCACGTTATGTACGCTGGTTGCATTAGCGGCCATGGTAGAAGCCATCCCAGGAAAAACAGCCGATCAACAAATGAAGAAGCAGGTATGTACTCGAGCGGCGAGAGAATATTTGCAAGGAGGAGTGCAAGTAGGATGGCGATCTGTTTGTACTAAATCACAACGCCGATACGACCGACCGAAGATTTGTCGGCCTGTATTTGCAGCGGGCACCAGGCACCAGGAACGGCGTACACGAAGAATTATAAGACTGGAGGACGAGCGATCCTTGTTAGCAATGTTGGCCATCCAGGTGCAGCGATAGGTACACAGGGTATCCAGGGCATCGAGGGGAGCAACTCACCAAAGGAGGAGCGAGAAGGGGGACGGTGGAAGCAGAGACGGAGAAAGAGGAGGATGTTTTGTTCTTTTCCTTTTTGCTCAGCAGCCACAAGCCCGAAACATGTACAGAGTTGACAGGAGCGCAAAGAAGGGAGCCGAAAGGGAGGGAGCCTAGCAAGCTCAGACGGGGTGAGAAATGCTGTTGGGCAGCGAGATGGCTGGGGGAAGAAGAGCACCGCAGTGGAGAGATGCAAGGCGACGGGAATTGACAAGATCGAAACTGCCCTTCGTTTGCCAGTGCAGAGTGTGGCGGTTGGTAGCCGGGAGGTCAGAATTGAAGAGGCTTGTCGCGACGTTACTCTGCGCCGGGCATGCTCCAGGAATCTCCCAACCTGCCGATCGTCCTCATGTGCCTTATGTGGAGAGGCGATCGCCGAGAATGGAAATCAGGACAGGGCCGTGGGTGATTGGCGGTAGGCAAGGGGGTGGTGCGAGTGTGTGTGTCGGCGGGACGAGGGGATAGTCGAGTCGAATAGCGTGAGCTGAGATTCGATGGAGGAGGAATGCCGCACACCGGGGAGAATCCGAGGGCGAGGGAGAGGAGGGGGGGGGGGAAGAAAGGGCAAGGTTCAGTGGATCGATGGATGGGAATGTGGGCGAGAGACAAAGCACGGCATTAATGTAGCCCAGCTGTCACACAGGAGCATGACACGCCCGACGACAGGGAGTTGGGAGTGTGGGTGGGTAGGCAGGGGAGTCGGGGAGAGCCGAGGGAAGCGAAAGAAGGAAAACAAGAGGGGGAAAGAGAAAGGGAAAGGGAGACAGCACGAAAAAGAAAAGCTGAAGGTGGTCGAGATGATAGATAAGGCGAGAAGAAAAATGATGCGGCGAGTCCCAAAGAAGTTTGGAGATCTGCCGCGTTACCGTTTGGTATGGTAATTCAACCAGCGATCATTGGACGGGTACTTCATCCGCCATACATTATATTACGGACATAGAAGTACCACGACAGTCACAGACGGTCACGTCGATCTTACGATCTCTCCCCCAGTCAATCACTCCCGGCGCTTCTTTTTAGCCTGGCCCCATCTCTTTCTTTGTTCAAGGTTCAATTGACGGACAGGACAGGACAGCAGACGACCGGACAGAACAAAAGCCACTGGTTGCACCACGGCGGTAGGGTGATCGTAGTCAAATGCAGTAACTCCCCCTCAGTGTTCCTTGGGCGACCATGCCCAGTCGGGCCATCCTGCGGGATCGAGGTGCAAAACTGAAGTCATTCACACCAAACCACCTTCGGCCAAAAGTTCCTAGCGATCCACTCTGGGAAACCTCCTGGCATGTTCGACAGCAACCACGGGAAGACCCGACGCAGGGTCAGCGCATACCATGGGCAGTGCGGTGCTCACCAAGGACTAAACACACTCGCAGCAGGACACCATCTACAAAGAAGCATTATTGATTGCCTGTATATCCATATGGGGGAGACGGACAGCCCGATCCATCGGGGCCCACTTCGCCCTACTCCTCCGAGTAAGGCTCCCCGGGGAAGGGACGCAACTAGCGATAAATAATCCCCAGGGGCAGCAAACTGCGGTAACTTTACTAGAACAATCCCAGGGAATGCGGGTCGCCCGGGAGGCGACGGCTGCGAGTTGTCCTGCCCGGTTGAGGACGGAACATTCTTTTGCTCCAGCCAAGCGCCCGCCACTCTTTGGTAACTAACGGGGGGCGCAGGCTGCAAAGCGCCGCCCAGACAAGACCCCAATCAACCATGGTTGGTTTCTTGGGCAACTTCCTGGCCTCGATGTACTTTCATACATGATACTATCGAGATTGTCGCAGACACACAAGGGGGTGGTGGTTGTCTCAAATAGTTACGGATGGTCCCAACGGCCGAACAACAATAGAACCTGCCAAATGTAAATAATCGGCCCGGCCGGCCCCCTTGCATCTCTCCCATTTACACTACTGACCCTTGGGTCCCTCTGGCGATAGAGTCCGCAAATCCGCGCCATGAATCAGGGCCCATGTGTAGCTTCGTGCGTGATTCTTCCAAAAGAGACCGAGACACCAAGGTCAAAAAGTCATACAAGGCGCAGGTGAACAGGGATCTAGCGTCCGCGATCCTTGCACCGGGGTCGCACAGGGTAGGTGTCAGTTGCCATCACTCGCAGAAAATTCTGCGAATTTCCCCGGATCTGTTGTGGGTGTTGGGCTGGCTGAAACAGGCGGAAGTGTGACGAGTACTTGGCTCCACTAGGTAATCGTGACGTGTGTATATTATAGTTAACTCAGCAGATGGCGGTGACAAATTGTAATTTAGGCTTCATCTTGGGCCGATGCCGGATTTCTTGGTTTGTGGTGGGTCACCAACGGCCTTGAGAGTCGAGTCGATGTGGACATTCACGGTATAATATTAAGGGTATAAAGGTTATTGAATAGAGTGCGATTCTAAGGCCTAGAGTTGTAAATGTCAGTTGTGGGTTCGTCAAGTTGATAGTTCAGATCGGGGTTTGTATATATACCTGGACCCACTCCGTTCTTCGCACCCACATCAGAATTTGCCATGTCTAAAAGAATTGAAACGGGAGGAACCTGGACATTCACTATGCCTCTATTTCTATGCTCTTGGCAGAAGATACTCCTCAAACGACCATGATTTTGGACCAGACGGGTACGAGCATGCGCCCAACATGCCCTCGTACGGGAACATGTGGTTCGTGGGAGCGGTTCGCCAGAGCTTAGTTCGGTGACTATTCTAAAAGTAACCTGGTATTAGGGTCCAAGGAGCAATTGATATAAGTGGTGACACCAGTTTTCAACTTACCATTCTATTTTACATGAGCTTAATTACAAATTACTCATCCTCTAGTAGACTCGAATCACTCAATGCATTTCAGTTCGTGTCTTCCTGCTTTGGCATTTACTAACATTGCCTTTGGAGCTCCTGTTGCGGATAACCTCCACGGGAGGGTATATATTTACTACTTTTGTTGCACGAGACCTGTCGTGGAAAACGTTGCGGGAGTACACTGTCGTGTTGGTGAGTCTTATGTCGGGATATTTTGTGCCTTGGACTCTTGATTGACCTGGTATTTCAATCCAGGGGCTTGCGCTCCCGATGGTCAGCCTGATCCCACGGGTGAAAGGACGTTTACTTGCATGAGAGATCCCCGCGTTGTTTCCCGAAATTTCAGGACGATTCATTCGTCAGCTCGACTATTGATCCCAACGGGTTTCGGCGGGCGGGAGCTATTTGAAGATGCAGATGAAGTTTTGCCCATAGCTTAATAATGGGGAAACAAAAGGATATAGTAATTGACTATGCGCTGGTAATACTACGCAACACGATTGGTCGGGCCGACAGGAGACTGTGAAACCCCAGGCGCTCTCCAGGCATCAATCACTTGAACCTCTCCATTGCATCATCCCTGGACCTGTCAGCAAGCCCTAACACACAGACGCAATCCTTTGAGCCCAGCCTTGGGGTCGGTTGGATGGGAGTGGGTGCCAACCGGCTCATATCGACGATAGAGTCATCTAGCATCCTAGATAGGTCTCATCTGATTCTACCAAATGGCCACTGCCTACCCACCATGCGCAGAACCGGTGTGTCCGAGGCATCACGCTCAGGGGAAGCCAAAACGGTTCCGTGGGGCGGGCCCGACCATCACCCACTCACAGCGTTGCCAGGCCAAAAAAATCCAGGCACCTCCTCCTTCCGATTGGTCCCCGACGCGCCCACCAACAGAACCATCAACAAACGCCTAAGCCCACTCCAGCCTAGTTCACTAGTCTAGCCCTGCCTCGCCCTCGCTCTCCCCTTTCTCCCCTTCCTCGCCCATTCTCCATCTCACTCCTCCATTCTTTCTTTCCCTTCACCACTCCCCCTCTCTCCCCCCTCTATCCCTCCCTTCCAACGCACGAGTCAGCTTCACTCTTTCAGCTGCTCTGCAATCCATTCTTTCTTATCATCGAGCCACTCATTCTCACTCGATTCCATTCTTTCTCCAGCCCTGTCCGGATCCGGCCAATTCATTCCAGTCGCGTCTTGGATCGATCGATCTTTATTTTTGTTATCTCAAATGATCTAAACACCTCTTCGTGGAATTTGATTTCGACAATCAACAACCTCGTGTCGCCAACTTCGACAACCACCGACACGACACCCGCTCAGTCTTCGACCCCCGATCGACGACAAAGATGTTCTTTTCGCAGCTCATGCGTCGGGGCGATAGTGACAATGGCGGACTCTCTACGCCCACAGTGGACCTCCTGATCACCCTACTGGTTCTCATCCTGCTTGCCCTCGCCCTGGTCGGCGGCCTTCTCCTGCTGCGTCGCAAGCGCAACGCCCGCAAGGACCAGTCGGTCCTCCCCATCCACAACGGACAGTGCACCCAATCCCACCACTCGCGTCGGTTAACAATAACGGCCTCCCGGACCGAATCTGTCCTGGTGTACGACGAGAAGCGCAACCTGATGGAGAACTCGGACAGCCCGCCACCTAGCCCCGTGCCTGAAATCCGCATCACCTTCCCAGAAGAGGAAGATGAGTCCGGCAAGCGCAAGTCTGGCCGCATGGTCATCGTTCGCATCAGCGACGCCGGCAGTGTGGGCCTGGAACCGTGTCACGAGGATCTGCCGCCATACCAAACCACCGATACTGGCCGCTTCCACTCCTTGGATATTGAACGGATGGGTGGGTTGAA